GGGTGGGCTGGTGGCCAGCCTACTCAATCTTGTTAGTGGGAGCCTTGGGTGGTGTAATTAGAGAGCTCTGGCCCTGAGAGGTCAGCGTAAACAGGAATCCTCATTAACGAGTTTTTTCCTTTAGCATTTAGAGTGTTTTAATATTTAACGAGCATGTGCTTCCAGCAGATTATCTTTTTGCATATGTGTAGTTGAGGTGGTGATTCCCCCACACCTGCCCCCCCCCCTCCCGGCTGCACGGCCAGGCTCCTCCCTCTGTTTGGTCTTATGCTAATGAGTTGGTAACCACCTTCATTCCAGTTGCTGCATTCAGCAGCTTGTTCATAAAACTCAAGCCCTCATACACGGTCACCACTGGGGTATCTGCATTCCTGTGGATAATGACGCCTTGTTCTATTATAGCACAGGCCAATGGAGAAGTGCATCTGGGGGGGGGGTCCTCCTTATCTCCATAGAGACCTAGATTTTAAACCCAACCTCCCACCGACCCTGTAGGCCTCAGCCCAAACTGCGGTTACGTCGCGACGTGAACTCACAGCCCTAATGGAGGGCAAATGAAGAGGGAAGCCGGCACTGTTTGATCACAGCCCGTCATGTGACCTCATGCCAGCATAATAAGCCTAAGTGTTTTTGTATAATGTAAGGTGATGTTTTTATGTTGTTATTTACATGCTGGCAAACCTCCAAATAAATGTCAAGCCACTTTTACCATGAAATCTAACTGTTACTGAAAAGAAGCTGGACCTGCACTGGGGAGCTATTCAGACTCAAAGAGTAATGATTGTCTAGATTAAAAACACTCTAATTTGTCAACCAGACTGATTATGATGATGAATGGATTAGGGAGAGATGAAGGGCTGGGGGGGAGGTTCTCCTGGTGTCCTGATACTTGTGTTACTGCCCCAGGTGCAGACCATGCTTCAGTCCAGCCAGCAGGTGGAGGGCTTGGAGCTGAATGCCCTCCTGAAGTCACCAAACCTGCAGGTAAACGCAGCCTCAATAGCGGCCCCTGCTGGTGCTGAGCCGGTATGGCTGTCACAGGCTGTCCGTGCCATCTGTTCTGAAGACACTTCTTAAAAATCTGCGCCCGAAAAGCAGTAGTTTGCCTTGGGATGTAACTTTTTATACAGATGGAAGAATGGTGTATTTTTAAAATGCTTTTAATATTATGCAGGAAACACTTATGTTACGAACACTTATTAAGCGCAGAATCGTGGGGGCCTGGATCCTGTGCCAGGCATAATAGGGTATAAGACAGGGGTACACCAGGCAAGGAATGCCAGCCCTTCACAGGGTACAGGTATCCCCCATGTAACATCCATTCGATCAATGTCCATTCACATTAACGGCTGTGCCTTAAAAACTTACAATAAAGATTATATATGTGTTTTAATGCCAGACGTAACAGCTGCTGTTTTTTAAAATGCACGAGCAGGCGGTAGCTAGCATTGTCAGTCAACAAAGACACTGTACAGCGCTGCATGACATATAATGTCCTGTAATGAACTCTAGTTGACCACATTTTACTTATTGATTAATACCTGTGTTTACTATGCACGGAAAAGGTTTCATGTTTACTATGTATGGTAAGTGTTTTGTGTTTTATACAAGATAAAAAGATAAGAAGAATTATTGTACAGTAATGCATTGTACTAAATGTTTTGATATTGTGCTTTAATAATCCACACAGTTTGAAATACAGCATTATCTGTAAAGTATCTAAACTGCTTCATACAGTAATTAAAGGCATCTTACTCTACGGCAGGGCAGAGTAGCCGAATCTTTCTAAGTGACTGTGGCAATATTCACGGCCAAATTGTTTAACGTCCTTTATTACAGAATGTAATGCGGACGTTAGACGAGGAATATCTGTATATACACACATGATGAGCAGTTCCTTTTAAAGTTCAAATCAAATAACTTTGTCTTATCATTCAAACTTGGGAGAATACAGGTAAAATATTAGTGAAGAGACTGAACTGTATGTTGTTGGATAGTGGACGGAAACATGTGCTTGTATTTATTTGTCGTAGTTCACCTTAGCGCGGCGCTAATGTAGCCATAGTGAGCAGCCTGGTGCTGTCCTCTGCTGTGCTATGCTGTTCGTTGCCAGCACATCGTACAGAGTATGAAGTACAGGCCCCCGGGGGGGTTGGGGGGGGGTAACATGGCAGATCTCTGTCAGGCTAAATGAGCGTGTAGCGTCCCCTTTGACACACTGAGCCTGTTCTCCTCTCCAATCCTATTATACCAAAATCAGCATGGGGGGGTGGGGGGGGGGCAGCCTGTGAGACAACTTTAGGACAGAGGGAGGAATATCCCACAGGTACCCGTACAGACACTCTGCTCCATCTCGGCATAGACCAGCCATGTATGTTGGCTGGGAGACAGACCAATGCTCTGAAGCCACGGCGACAGTGTCAAATGCTCGCCAGCAGGTCTAGAGAACTGCTTTTGCCGTTAGGTTTGAGATCTGTGCAGCAGGAACATTTACTATGCAAAGTGTTGATCTTGGAGCCTCTGAACTGCTAATTGGCTGAGAGATTATGTGAGTATTTAAGTCCATATGAAAGCTTAGTGTCTCACGGATCAAGAGCAGAACCAGTCCACAGTAACATTGGTCCAGACATGGCACTGTATCTGACTTGGCTGGGTGCCTGCTGTCATGTTTCTCAGCTGACAGCAAAGGTCTATGAGGTAAGAAGCTGTACAAAGACCTGTACCTTGAAGACCAGTATGAGATGCCTTTTGCATTCAGAGGCGTGGGCTGGAGAAATACCATGCACTGTTGAGTTGTAGGGACAGGCAGTGCTATTCTGCATTTCCTGATCTGTTGGAGTTCATTGCGTTTTCCCACCAGGACACCACACACTATCTGACACTGTTTGAGAGCAAAGGGGAGGAATGACATGGTATGTGATGTGCGCCTCTTTCGGTGACTTGGTGGTACCTTGGCTAGTTCGCTTTTGAAGTAGTTGTGAATTATACCAAGTTCTGCGATGAAGAATTCCTCCTGAATTGGCGGCCTCCCTTCCCCGACCCCCAGGCGCTGATGCTGGCCCATGACAGCGTGGCCGAACAGGAGATGCATCCAGGACCCGGGCTGCCCCCGGAGGTGCCCGACGAAACTTTGACGCACTACTGGGGGGAGACCATCAAGCTGGTGCATCTGGAGAAGTCAAAGAACGTTCCCCTGGTGAGATGAAAGCTGTATCGTGGTGACCCTGATAGTGTGAGCAATGGTGTTAAAGTTGATAAAACATATAACACATGCAAATTTACATTAACCAAATAAACTTCAATATAAACTGTCATTACGAATGACCTTCTCTCGCACATGTGTACAACACCCTTATATAGTACCTTCAGTCTAATGAACAGAATATGAGGAATGTTATGTGAAGTGACAGTACCAAAATGGAACTTACCAATGAGGACCATGCTGTGGGCCTTTAGGGCGTGACGGTGCGTAACGAGCTGGACAGCGTGGTCATTAGCCGCGTCATGAGGGGCGGGGAAGCCGAGAGGAGCGGCCTGCTGCTCGAGGGGGACGAGATCTTGGAGATCAATGGCGTGGAGATCCGTGGCAGGGACGTCAACGAGGTCTTTGACATCCTGGTGCGCTGGTTTGTGCAAACCTTAGGGGAGCCATTTGCTAGGAATCTTCCCAGGCATTAACCCGTGGATCCTACATGATGTGGCTTCCCATCCCCAGGCGGATATGCATGGCCCCCTGACCTTCGTCCTGATCCCCAGCACACAGAACAAACCCCCACCCCATCAGGATTCTGTGGTAAGAACCCCCTTTTTCCACTGCCGTCAGCATGTCTATGAGGATCAAAGCATTGCGCTGTCCTTCACCCCCCATGTCTAGGTGCACGTGAAAGCTTATTTCGACTACGACCCGTCCGACGACCCCTACGTGCCCTGCCGTGAGCTGGGGCTCTCCTTCCAGAAAGGAGACATCCTGCACATCATCAGCCAGGACGACCCCTGCTGGTGGCAGGCCTACCGGGATGGGGACGAGGAGAACCAGCCGCTCGCAGGCTTAGTCCCGGGTAGGGTGGGGCTGGGGCCGACCCTGTGGCAGATGGGTGGCATATGGGGGCCGATGGGCACACAGAACCCGGGCCTTCGCCCGCACTCATTCGGAGTCGGTCTCTCCGTGCAGGGAGATCCTTCCAGCAGCAACGGGAGGCTATTAAGCGAACGATAGGGGTGGATAGGGATTCAGAGCATCCAGGTGAGACACCACCGTGCCTCTCGGGGTGTTTCTGGCTTTGCTTTGGAGGAAAGTGAATACTGTTTCCTTGAGGTGGTGATTTATTTTATTTGTTGGGTCTTTCAGAAAAGCTCTGGTGTGCAAAGAAGAACAAGAAGAAGAGAAAGAAGGTGATCTACAGTGCCCACAAGATCGGAGGTGAGCTCTGCTTCCTCTCACCTAGGCATTCTGTGTAATAACACACTCTATAAACCAAAGGTTGATGGTCTCCACGTTTCAAAGGGCACCTTGTCTTACGTACTTGTTGTACCTGAGACTTGTACTTATAGACGAACAGGCCAAGCATGTGGAAGCTATATTTCTGTGGTACCACAGCTTCCATCAGTCTCATCCATCCCTACACTGTCTTGTGTCAATCTGTCACCATCCCCCCTCCACTGGAATGCCTCCGTAACCAGGGAACCTGCTGCCTGGCCTGCTATGTCTCCAAACACACAGGGGGGGGTGGAAGGCCCTGTTCTTCAGGACAGAGCCCTCCATACTCATTCAGTGTCTTCCCGGTTCCATTAGTCTGTCTGTGTTTTATTCTGGCGTATTTCTCATGCATCATTTATAAATATTTGGGAGTGCCACTGCCAGTAGTTGAAAAAGCGGAGCTGGAATTCACCACATAAGGAAGAAGAAAAGGTCATTGTTACTTGCGGCATTCCTTTTGCAAGCTAGACGTGTTGTGACCATGGATGTTCTGGAATGGTAAATGGTAAATGGACTGCATTTATATAGCGCTTTTTACTACTCTTACGAGTACCAAAGCGCTTTACAGTTATGCCTCACATTCACCCATCCACACTCACATTCACAGAATCCAGAAGAAGTCAGAAGTGTTTACAGTGCCATGCGATTCTCCAGTCTAAAGCTCACAAGTTTCCCCTGCCAGAGTACGTCAATGAGGAGATCCTGACCTACGAGGAGATGTCACTGTTCCACCAACCGACCAGCCACAAGCGCCCCATTGCCCTGATCGGTCCTCCAAATTGTGGCCAGATCGAGCTGCGACAGCGACTGCTGTCCAACGAGCCAGAGAGATTTGGTGGTGCTGTTCCACGTAAGATCACTAGAGGTCACGAGTGTGAAGGTCAGAGGTCCTGAGGCAGCTGACAATGTGCTCTCAGCATCCCTTTCATTGTATGAGTTCATGTGTTCCCTGTGGATTTGTGTGAAATCAAAGTACAGTGGGTTCAAAAAAAAAAAAAAACAATTTTACACATAAATCCTCAAGTACGATTTTCTTTAAATTATTTGCCATATGTAAAAATGAAAGAAATTGCATAAATTGCACACTGTTTTCATTAATTCATTCATTTTTATTTAATAATTGTTTTGTACAGAGCCCCTCTCATGACATACCCATAAAAATTATGTATATCGTGACCACATTTTAATATATGGTGGGAATTAATTAATAAAACATGCCCACGATTCAACTAAATATATATATATATAGACACACACACACACACATACACACATTTCTCAAAGAGCTCATGAGTGGAGCTCTTTGCGGTCATGGAAAAAAATACATAAAATATGCAAAATGTTTCCAGTACATAGATGTTGCACAAATTGAATTTCTATTATTTAAGCAACAACACTATTACTCATTTTCACATACTGCTGGAAGAAAAATGACTGCTGTAGTACTGTAGTTTTTTTAGCCATCATCTTGAAAGGCAGTGTGATTTGTTGGCACTGTGGCCATGATACTTTTCCCCCGTTGCCGTAACGCAGACACCACACGCCCCCGACGGGAGCTCGAGGTCAGCGGGCGGGAGTACCACTTCGTGTCCCGGCAGGCCTTTGAGGCGGACGCCGCGTTGGGCAAGTTTCTCGAGTCGGGGGAGTTTGAGAAGAACCTGTACGGCACAAGCACCGACTCTGTTCGGCAGGTGATCAACGTGGGGAAGATCTGCCTGCTGTCTCCACACACTAAGGTAACGGAAGGAGGGTTGTAAGAAACGGCCCTCTCCGTCAAGGCCAAGCCCTTCCCTTTCTCTTGCTTAGTCTTTCTTATCGTGGCTTCAGAAATGTTTTCCTTGCCTGGTGCAGGTTTTTATCGTTGTTGTAAAATGCCAGGATCTGCAACTGTGGTGCCTTTGACATTCTTCCTGTATCTTATCCAGTCCCTGAAAGTGCTGCGCTGCCCAGAACTGAAACCCTACGTGATCTTCATCGCCCCTCCATCTCAGGAGCGCTTGCGCGCCCTCCTGGCCAAGCAGGGCAGGAACCCGAAGGTACCAAAGAATTTGGTTTCTTTCCAGTAGAGATTAAAAATAACACGTCTTAACAACAAAGAATCTGTGCAGCCTGTATTTTGTTTTTACTCTGATCTGAGAGCTTGTGGGAGATTATGTTGGAGGTCGTTGTTTATAAGCTTTGTTTTCCATGTTCTTCTGCTCCTCTCTTCACCCTCAACTGTTAACTGTTGCTCATGCTTCTCCTCTGTCCAGCCAGAGGAGCTAAAGGACATCATCGACAAGGCCCGGGACATGGAGCAGAACTTCGGGCACCTGTTTGATGCCACCATCGTCATGACGGAGCAGGAGAAAGCCTTGCAGGAGCTGCTGAGGCTGATCGACAAGTTGGACATGGAGCCCCAGTGGGTTCCCTCCCCCTGGCTGCGCTAAAGCCGCCACATGGAATCTTCCAAAAGGGGTATCGGCACTTTTTTCATTGCAGAGGGGTGGCAGATCAGTTAATTAAAATTAAATTAATTGTTAACAGACTGAATGACAGCTAAGAGTTGGGACAGACTCTCCTTCATGAAACCTATGTTTAGAAGGACACTTCCATTGTCTTGTCCAGTTAGATCCCTCCTCCATTCCATATTCATATCATAAACGTATCACCGCAATATTGCAAGCAGTATGTCTGGCTACTTTTTATATTCATGTTTTGCTTTTCTGCAGACAGAAAATACATAAATATTTGCGGCTGTTGTTTCCCTGGCTCTGATCTAGGCTTGGGCAGTATCAAACCATCATACTGTCCAGACATTATACTGCAGCATGTTTATGGTACCAATTCTATTCTGGTGTTTCTTGCCAATCTGCAGAGCAGGGTGGGCCCACATGATTATTTTCACCAAATGGCAAATTTGTTGCCATGATTTCAAAAAACATACTGTATAACCACAATACCACCCAAGCCTACTCTGACCTTACTCAGAGGATAAATTGGTTGTAATGAAACTAGCCAATGGGAAATGTGAATTGTCTAAGGTTCAGCATGAACTGTTCCAGTGGGCGGTATGGACAGCCCGCTGGGAGGTACGAACTATACGTAAATGAAGTAGAAACAGCGAGAGTAAAAACCCTGTTTTTAGTGGACCTTTTGATGTAATCTCCATGTTTTTCTTACCTGAAGTCCTTATCTCTCATTATTTACCATTAAATTAGGAAGTAGATGAATGTACATACATAAATGTGAGAAAGAAAAGTTCAGTAGCTTTGTGGTATGATACTCCAGTGTTTTAAAGGGCTTCATTCTGCCATTGTCCATGCAGATTACATCTGAAGTGTGTGAGGAGGGTAATCTTTTAAAAACACCACTGAACAAAACCCATTGGGGTAAGAGTAGAAAATATTTTTAATCACTGGTTTGTGTTTTGTGCTGGATTGTGGTGGTGTGTTATAATGGAACACCAAGGTCTTGTCCTCTGAATTCTTTGGGGTTGTTTGAGGACTACAGTCCCTTGATCTACAACTGTCATGCCAAAGATTCTTAGCTATTATATATTCTATGTCTGATGTTATTTCCGGTCAAGAGAACAAGCAAAGCTTTTTTAGCACCTGCCCCACAGCCATATATATATAGCATATAGCATATGCTAACATATATGAAAGATATATATGTACTGTTACTGTAGGTTGTCCTGTAGCCCCACCCGACCCCTGGGGGAGGATCTCCAGGGCTAGGTGCAGCTTGTATTGCCTGCCTGCAAACCTGAGACAAATACTGGAAGTACAGTTTATGAATCTACACATTGCACATATTCTAAAGGTATTAAACCTTGATTTAAATGAAGTCCAAATTAAATATTCCTGTTCCATTTGGGAGAGCTTTACGACCTTATATTTTTCTGTCCTTGTGTCAAACCGATATTTTATTAAATGTCTAAATCAATTTGCACTAAACAAAACTGCTGTGAGTAGTCTGTAAATGAATCAAGCATAACATGCTTCCAATAACAGTACATTCTTGTAGACTAACACTGACAGTTACGTAGTGTCTAGCATATGGAATTGAATCCTCTTGTGTTTGGGGAGATTTATGCAACTGCTGTACTGTGATGCACTGCACAGTACATAGATAAACTGCAGAGTATTACCAGACTTTCTGCTGAATTTCTACACAAGGAAATGTACAGCTTTCACAGTCATTTTCTCCTCTTTTCAACATGAAGAGCTTCCAAGTTGATATTAAAGTAACGGCATGAAAATCTTTTTGCCTATATGCTGTAAATGAGAGGGTTAGGGTTGGGGGGGGGGCTGTTGCAGAAGGTGTAACACACCTTGCTGCAGAGTCAGACTTGCTGTTGTGTGTACAAGACTCAAAAGAATAGACAGACAATGTTTAAGAATGCTGCTCAAGTCTACTGTTGTTTGTCAGAGTTTTACTTTGAATTTATAAAAGTTCTTTCTTGGGGAGACATGCTCCAGCCTTGCAGGATCAAAACTCAGGTGAACCCTACAGAGATGCAGAACACAACTGTGACACAGCTCAAATTACTGCATGCAATGACACCCAACACCGAACAAACCTGCACAGTCAAACTCCCACCTTTCCCAGCCTCCTGCCTTAACAAACCCCAAAGTACAGGCCCATTTTGGTCCCACTTTTGCCTTCTGTGGTTATGAAAAGTTCTTTTGGTGCAACACAGTGAAATGCACCCTGTGATACAAGATATGACACATTTTCTGAGGCAATTGTTTAGTCTGACACTGATCCTGTGCAATGCCGAACACATGGAAACAAAACCACCACCAACACATACAATGAAACACAAATTAATCTCTGCTTTTGTTTCACAAAACAGTAATATGGCCTCGGAGAAAATAAATAAGGTATACATCCAAGGTGGGGTGGGGGCGACACAGACGGGTCACTCAAAGAGCAGGTCCTCGTCCGCTGCCTCTGTCGGGGCGACACAGACGGGTCACTCAAAGAGCAGGTCCTCGTCCGCTTCCTCTATCAGCATGTTGGTGGGCTCTGCCATGGGTCCCAGCTTTGCCAGCCGCTCCGCCATCTCCCGCGCTGTCCTCTCCTTCATCTGCTTCTTCTTCTCCTGGATCTTCTTCAGCCTTGTCGCCGGCACAGGAGAAAGACACGCAAGGTCACACGAGTTGGAGAAGGTAAGCCTTCATTGCAGCTAGATTTAAGATTTCAGGTGGGGGTTGGGATGGGGATGGGGATGGGGATGGGGATGGGGGGGGGGGGTGTCGAGATGAGGGGGTTATCTGGACATGCAGTAACCTGCATGGCTACACTGAAACAAACCATGCAGCCAGGAAGGCTGATGGACTGCAGGTCCAGTGCACAAGAAGCAGATGCTCACCTGTAAAACTCCTCCCTCTCTCGCTCATCCAGCTCCGTAATGATGTAGGACAGGGTACGCTCGATCCGCGGAATGATCACTAGGGGGACACGTGACATGCTGAGTGACCTTACATAATGCACCGCACCCTCCCAATCACACTCTTTCAAGTAGCTAATTGGTATCTCTGACTTACCGTGCTCTATAGCATTCACACGACGGTTAGTGATTTTGATGGCCTCATCCAGTGTAACGAATGAAGTCTGCGGCGATAAAAGAAGATATTTCTTGGATCCTATCTGACATGTCATCACTACTAAATCCTGGGACGAAGTAAACTACAGACAGATATGGTATGTCAAGATCAAGGAGGATTGTGCTTTTCAACTGGGACACACAGCCAAGCTAGTATTAAACACAAAGGCTCAGACACATGCGTGAGAATTAAGAGTGCCCCTCTACCTGTAAGGAGGCCAGTTCAACAAGCAGCTCCACAGCCTTGGCGTAATTCCTCTTCAGCTTAGCCAGCTGCTCCCCTCCCCTTGCCAAACCAGTCAGCTCGTAGCCTGGGAGGTAAAGTGAGTTTCATCAGGAGGCTGCCCTCAAAGTATAGGAGTCAGAGTCAAACCCTATCAAAATCACAATTAAATAAAAATCAGCAAAACCTATAATGTCATAAATAGACTAGATGTGAGTGGGTCCTGTGTCTGTGTGGGATTTGCGGAGAAAGGTGCCCCAGACTTACTGTCCCCTCCTTCCTGGTAGTGCTCAAATACTGGGAGAGTAACACCTGAGAAGGAAACAGACACAGAGCGGTAAGGGAGCGACCGCAGGCAAGCGGCCAGGCAGGCGAAACACAGACTGCCGGGGTGCCTCACCTGCTACGTTATCCTTCTTGGCACGCACCTTCACCTGGGCTTTGTTCACGTTCTGGATCACAGTGGTACTGAGGAAGGTTAAGGCCAGATGAAAACAACGGTTAGGGATCACCCAGGGCAGGAAGCATTGACTTAAAGGGCACCTTCTGGCTCCGCCCGCCTCACCTGAAGTCTCCGGCAGCAAACTTGGCCTCCGCTAGAGAGAAGGCTGCCTCCCTCATCACCTCCCCCATCAGCGTTTTGGTCTGTGCAGTGATGAAAGTCTCTTGTAAGTTCGGTCTTCAGACAATTCACTCTGTGATGCCCCTCCATAACCCCCAGCGCCCTTACCTCTATGATCTTGCGGAGAATCTGCCGGAAGCGCATGGACAGGGCATCTGCCTTCTTCTTGAGTAGATTCCTCCCTGTCTGGGCACCCTTCAGACGTGCTTTCATGATGGTCTGCGCCCTGCCAATCAGGTTAGTCAACGGTCAAGAGATTTTTTTTTTCTAGGTATTTTTCCTTAAATATCATGTTCCTGTACATAAGGGGTCAACACCTAAGAAACGTATTAAAAACAAAGTTGATGATAAAGCAACTTTTAAAAAAGGGAAATTCCATTCATTTACTTATTTAACAGGCTCTTTTACTGAAAGATGTATACAT